GTTGTCGCCGGGCCCGGCCGCGCAGGGCCGCCCTCAAGGTCCGGGCGGCACCATGAAATCTCTGAAGAAGGATTCCCGCCTCCGATTAGCTCCAACCAGATTCCAGGAGGTCGCAGAGAGCATCAAAGGTTGGCGCTGGCTGCCTTGGGCGCTCAGGAGAAGGCGACAGGGGCAGCGCTTCTTAGCACGGCGTTCAGGACCCGGGGCTTGGAGGTTGGGGCGACACCACGAATGGGGATCCAGATCACTGGGAAGTAGGGGACCGGGCCCGGGAACCTGAGGGATGATGGACCGGGCGGAGGTCCCCGCAAGGAGAGGGCAGGGCGCTCTGGGCCTTGAAGACGGGGGCATGGAAAGTGGGGGACTGACAGGCTCTTCAGGGGCCGCTGGTTGCGGAGATGGCCTTGCTCAGGAAGGCCAACCTCACACCTCGTCTTTGGGTGGCACACAGGAGGCGGAACCCTGGACTAGGTGAGGTGTGGAAGAGCCAGGAAAGCGTTTAAGGCCAGGGGGGTCAAGAGTTGGGATCCTAGGGCCGAGGAATTCAGGAAAGAATGCAAGACACGTGTTGAGGTGGTGATACCCACCATCTTGATGGGGCTTTTGGGGGGCGTGGGTGTCACCTAAGAGTCCTGCTGAAAAAATCCAGAAGGAAGGCTTTCCTTGGCAGGGTCTGTTTCTGGTGCCTTTTCCTAGCACGTGTCCCTTCCCACTGTATGACACTTGTCCAACTTGTCTTACCTGGAGCGAGTCCCTAGACAGACTGCTTCCTGGCCTTTGCAACTACCTTCTGTGACCCCAGCTCCCTAGCTTCACTAGACTCAGGCTCGTGAAGACCCAGAGGGGTGACCAGACAAAGGTAGAAATATGAATACTGCGATGCAGGCCACCCTGGTAGGGACGGCCCCTCCCTTGACCCCCCAGCTCAACCCTGAAGCCAGAATTTCCCCAAGGCTTTAATCAGCACTAAGAAAAGAATAATACTGAGATGAAACGAGAAGCAGATGGCCAAGTGCAGTGGCTCACGCCTGTAACCCCAGCACTTTGGGAGGTGAAGGCGAGAGGATCGCCTGAGCCCACGGGTTCAAAACCAGCCTGGGCAGCTTGGTAAGACCTCGTCTCTACAGTAAGTAAAAAAATTAGCTGGGCGTGGTGGTGCGTGCCTGTAGTTCCAGTTACTTAAAAGGCTGAGGCAGAAGGATTGCCTGAGCCCAGTAGGTCGAGGCTGCAGTGGCTGTGAGCATGCCACTGTACTCCAGCCTGGGTGATAACAGAATGAGACCCTGACTCAAAAAAAAAAAAAAAAAAAGAAGCAGAGAAAGTGCAGTTCACTTCTATTATGAGGGCTCAGAGCGCCTGACCCAGGCCTTGGTTGGTAGAGCTGGAGGGAGGAGAGGTTTCTGAAAATGGCATCGATGGCCGACCAAAACAAGAAGGAGGGATTTGTGTCTCCAGATGCAGGGAGTTTACAGAAGTATGAATGTGGGAGCCAGAGGGATCCCCCACAGGTAGGCAGGGTAAGGGCCAGACCATAGAAAGGCATTACAGGCTAGGTCAGGAAGTCTGGAGTCATGAAAGCTCAATGTAAGGAGGGTCCCCTGGGAGGCTTGGAAAACCAGCAAGAGCTTCGTCACCTTTTAGTATAGCTTTCTTTTATGCTTCTTTATAGTATAAAAATCTAATGTTGAGTCAGACATGGTGGCACACACCTGTAGTCCCTCTCAGCTACGTGGGAGGCTGAGGCAGGAGGATTGCTTGAGGCCAGAAGTTCAAGACTGCAGTGCACTGTGATCATGCCTGTGAATAACCCCTGCACTCCAGCCTGGGCAGCACAGCAAGACCCTGTCTCTTAGAGATGAAATATGAAAAAAAACCCCAATGCTATTTCATGACATGCTTTTTAATTGTTAAAAGAGAGAACGCGAAAAAAAATCTGGTCCCCTTTCCCAAGTGCAGTCAAGGGTTTATCTGGCCACTGCCTCCTGCTCACCTGGTTTCTAGGAGCTCTTATCAGATTTGAACTTTCTACTGTAAACAAATCAAGGGAAGATTTTTCGCTGCGTATTAATTTTTTAATAAAGGGAAAATTGAGTTCATTAAATAGCCGTGAGTTAAGAGCACACACCAGAATGAAGAGGAGAAAAAACAAAATGTGGAGCATGCAGCGTACCTTTTTTCCTTAAATATCTCAGGGAAGCCTCAAATGTTGAGGTTCAGCCCTTCCCCCTCCGCCATGTGAGGCAGCTAATTACCAGATGTCGTCTTGTAATTTTGTGCTAGGTTCCTCCAAGGTCTCTGAGTCATGAGCAGAAAAGCAGGCAAATACATCAACTTATACCTGCATAGGGACCTGAGAGCCCTTTAAGTTCCAGGCTCCTTCCTGGTCTTGTTGCTAAGACACCAGGAAGCCTCCCAGCAGAGTTATATTCCCCTCTCTCACCAACTAAGGCTCTTACCCTCGCAGGGACGGCCCCTCCCTTGGTCCCCCAGCCCAATCCTGAGGTTAGAATTTCCCAAAGGCTTTAATCAGCAATAAAAAAGAATAATATTGAGATAAAACAAGAAGCAGAAAAACAGAGTGTGGGTTGCTTTTCTCCATCATTACTCCTTCTCCCTCCCTCCTCCCCCTTGTCTCTTCTGAGTGCCTTGCTTCCAGCTGCCTAGCCTAGCTCCAGGAGAGACCAAGCAAGGGGGCTGGCCTCTGTCCCCCTCACCTGCCAGGATCAAGGCTGAAGTGTCAGCCCTGTGGCTGACGAGGTGCCCTCTCAGCTTGGGTTTCCAGACCAAAGAAGAAAGAGCAGGCCTCTGCAGGTTCAGTGGTGAGACCCACATAAGCCCAATGGAGTCCTGCAGGTCCTGAAGTAACCCCTGGGGCTTGTCCTTCCTCCCTGGTGTCCCCTGCTTCTTCCCCTGCTCAGGTCTGTCTGGCGGCTTCCCTCGATGGTTGCATCATCATCTTGAACCGCACCTGTCATCAACTTGCTTCCCTGAACCAAAGATCAGATGCCCGAGCCATGCTTTCCAGAGCTGCCAGGCCCTGGTTTCCCTCTCATCCCCAGCAGGCTTCTGTGTCACCATGCCTCACACAGGCCATGCTGCGACCTCACCTGCAGCACCTTCGTGTGTGTGGCCGCCCCTGGGCAGACCCTCCTGTCCTTCAAGGCCTGCCTTAGCCCATGGAGTGACCTCTGCTCCTCTGAGCCTTTCTTTGGAGACCACCGTGTGGTCCACATTGATCCTTTCCTTTTGTGACGTCTAACCAGACTTATTGTGCCACTGATGTCGTCACTCCTATTGTTAGGATTGTGTCTGTTGCATTTTTCAGTTCCTCAAGAGAAGGAGCCATACCTTAAACTTTTATACCATCTTTGTAGTTTATAGCACATTGAAGATGCTCGGTAAATATTCTCTAGAATTTAACTTTAAGCTGTATATAACTTTGATGAATATTTTATTAACTAGAGCATACCATTCCCTGCCTGAACACAGTTAACAGTGTTTATTTTACTACCTTCAAGGTAACTTTCTCAGAAAGACAGACTAGAGTTTCACTGACTATGCCAATATCAACCAGACATGAAAGATTCACTTCCCTATTGCTGAAGGGAGCTTTGGCCCCTGGAAATCTTCAGCAGTGTGAAAGGTTTCTATCCACGCATGGGAATTAGACACCAGCACACATCTGGAGGGGTTTCGTCATTTGGGAAGATGCCAGCCCTGCCAAGGCGATGGGCCAAGGAAGCAAGTGTCCTGGAAACTATAAATAGTACCCAAATATTTATAAAAGCCGACCTGCCGCTGATACCCCTTCTCTCGTGGGCTGCCACCCGCTTTGGTGAGTGTGTGGAGAAGGGAGAGGGGACAACAAAGTCAAAACCCAAAGCTGCGTCTCCGCACATGGCATCAGAGCAGATCAGAACTCGGGGTCCAGCCACGTGGCCTCGCTTGCGTGCTGATGTGCACAGAGCCCTGCATTTAGCAGACAGAAACTTCTGAGCTTCTGCTGACCCCATTGCAGAAATGGACTGTGGCTGATGGGCTGAATTTAGCTATGTTTGGAATGATTCTGGTGTGGGGTTTTTTTTTGCCACCAACTCTATGGACATCTCCTAAAAAAAAAAAAAAGTTTGATTTGTTAACCATAACACCTGCCTTGATGTTTTTGAGATAGCACCTCTCAAAGCTTAGAGAAGCAATGAATAAAACCCAGTCTTGTGTTAAACCCCCTGAAGGCAGGACATAGGGTTTCTTTGGATGATTTTGTGTAGGGCTTTGCATTTGAAGCGGAGGAAGGAACACAGGGCAGAGAAACGAGATGCATTTAGAACTGTTAAGCAGTCCTGTGCAAGGAAGACAGGGAGTGTGTCCTCCTTGGAGAGTGACGCCCTTCTGCCCCTTATGTTGTCACAGTTGTGTTCTGGCTGTCCCATGAGAGACACAGGTTTGATCTGTCCACGTTTCTCCAGATCCTTGACCCCCTGTCACTGTCAGTCATGCCATGACTGCTGTAGACCCCTAAATAAACCCATCCTGGGTCTAACCCCCCCCCATCCATTCCTTGCCATGCTGTTGCCCACATGGTAAGGAATGAGGGCCTTACACAGCTGGCCAAGTTCTTTTTGACCTGACTCCTACTTCCTCCTCTGGGTTCTTCTCCCTCCCTCCCACCTCACCACACTCCAGCTATTTAAAAACACATGCTTCGAGTTCCAGGGTTATGCTCCATTCTCTCTTGCTGATAGGCCTCTTGATGTTCCTTGTGGAATGCCTGTTCCCCAGTGCCCTTTCCCTGGTCTAATTCTCTTCTTCTTTCAGCTGTTTAAGCATCACCTCCTTAGGAAGCCCTCCAAGACCACCCCCCAAGTCTGGCCTGGGCCCTGTCATGTTCCCACAGTCACCCTGGCTCAGTCTGTTTGGAGGTCTTGTCTCCCACTGGGCATGTGCTTGTTAACTGAGGCTTTGACCTATATCCTCAGAGCCTAGTCCTGGTGCACAGGAGCTACCTAAACAGGCTTCTTCAAGAAACAGTGGGCAATACATGGTCAGTGGTGACTGTTCTGCGCCCCCCAGAGAATTTGCTTGTCGACCTGTGTATGAGGAACTCGATGCCTTCATCCAGAAGAATGGGTAGTGCCAGCACTGGGAGGAGGCTGACAGAACATATCGGGTTCAGTTGCCCACTGTGCATCAGAACCACTTAGGGAGTTTATAAGATTACAGCACCCAGACCCTGGCACCACGCAGTAGCCAGTATTTATAAAACTCCCCAGAAGATTCTGAGGTAGACTTTGGATGGATATTTAGGAATCAGATTGAGTCCAGCTTCCTCCTTTTGTACATGGGAAGACTGAGGCTTGGAGAGGTTAAGTTGTCCGGCTTCTGAATAGCACAACCTGAAATGGGACACCTTCTGCTCTCAATTCTGGCTATGGAAGTCTCAGTCACTGCGGCTGGCCCGGAGGTATGTCGGGGGACCCTCAAGAGAGAACTTCCATTGCCCCAGTAAAGAGCTGTCCAGGACACCTTGGCAGCCTCTGCCGTCTGTCCAGGTGGCCAGCTCCACCTCCACCATGGAGTCTAATAGACAGTTCTATTTTATACTTTTATATACACAGAGAGAGCTCTTTAAGCACTTATAACTTTCTGCTTCTCTTCAGAAAGGAAGCGGGCAAAGGTCCCTGAACAGCCCACCTCCCCCACTCAGGAAGATCCTGAACCTGTTAGCAATGTCCTACAAGGAGATGACATTCTTGCCTTGGCCATTAAGAAGGAGGACTTGGAGAAGGTGAGGACGAGGTCCAGGGTTCCTTCACTGCAGGGACATTTCCCTGTCAGCCCATGTAGGCTAGACATCACTGTCTCTTCACCGGCTCCCTACTCACAGGGAGTGTCTCATTCCATGGAAAAATCCACTGAGTACAAATTCTTTTCCCTTTAGCATCTAAAGGAATCTGCTATGTTGTTTGTTTTTGCATTTTTGAGATTTGTATAGAAACACGAGGGAAATGAGGTGAAGACATTTCTTGCTTCCCATGGAAACAGTTGCTACCATCCTCACTTCACAGAAGGCAAAACAGGTCTAAGCAGCCAAGTTACAGATGTGGATAAACAACCTGGGTAATTTAAAAAAATACGGCTGAGCCTCACCCCCGCCCCACCGTACCTGGAGAGTCAGCCATGCCTCACCTGAACTCTCTAGATGGGTATGATGTTTTCAATTCCCCTCCAGGACATTGCTAAGTCACATGTCTGTTACATAGACATTTCCTCCACAGAACATATGGACAGAGATGAAGAAACAGATGTGTCAGCCTTTAGGAATTCCACCAAGAACCAGGACTGAGGAGATGGATGGAGCGCTTCCTCCTCCCCTTCTCAGGTGGAATTCTCCTCTGTTTTGTTTCTTTTTAGCAACACATTCGTCGCCTTACTGAAACAGAAGGTAAACCTGCTATTACCCAGAAATTTATCATCCGAAAACTCAAACCCATGGATCCTAGGAGAAAGGTCTGCCACCTGGTAGCACATCCTGCAAATCCCGATGTAGCCACAAAGCCCCTGGACTACTCAGGTACAGCCAGTCTTGGCCCTGGCACTTCTGGTCAGTCTTGAGAGAAATCAGGGTCTCCCTTGGCAGTTTACATCAGCTATCTACAGCTTGCCTTTCCCCTCCTCCCCACTCTCCACCCCTAGGTCCAGGTGACAGCTTTGATGGCAGTGATCAGATCCTGCCCCACCACATCTTGGGGAGTCTCCAGGACTTTAAGAGAATCGCAGTTGCTCGAGGGAATCTCCAGGTTTGTTTGCACAGGGCTGCCTGGATGAGAGAAGTCCCTGAAGTTATTTTGGTCTCCCACCTGGCAAAGTCAAGCAGGGCTGGGGCTCAAGAGACAGTCTAGTCTCTGGGCTTCAAATCTAAGATGACAAATGACCCTCCCCTGAAACAGTTAGACGCTTCAGCTGGAAGTCACAGAAGACAACTGAAGCAAGCTTCAGCTGAAGTTGGGATTTTCTATAATGATACGGAGGTGCCTCAGGAACCCAAGATGAGAGTGTACCTGGTTCTGGGCAGACTGCACCTAGAAAGTCATCAGGGCTCAGGGGCCATGTGCCTCGTTCCCTTCTGCTGCTCTGTGCATTGCCTCATTTTCCCCTTTTGGGAGACCGGCCAACCCTCCTCAGTCCCCATGGTGGAGAAGCACCTTCCCAGTGCTCCCTGGGGCACGTGAAGAGTCCATGCGCCTTTCCAACCTTCCTATCATGCATTGTGTCTCTCTGTCTCTTCCATCCCTGCCTCCCTGGTTCCAGGCAAAGACTGACTGATCAGCTGCTAACAGGTCTGGGGTCATGTAAACATGGCTCAAATTACCCTGGGTGAAAGTTACCATAAGTTGTGAGGAGGACTGAAACACTAAACGACAAGTAACAATCTTAGAACAAAAGTTCTCTTTCTGGAGGAAAGGGGCCTGGCAGCTGCTTTGAAGGCCATCTGTGATTTCTGTCACTGGCCACCCTGGGGTCCTGAAGAGGAGGGAGTCTCAGCAGGGTGGGACAACAGCATGGGTAGGGCCTCTAAAAGTTTTGCACAGCCTCTGTTCAGAGTCTTCTCACCACCCTTCCCATGCTCATGCTGTGCTTTTCAGCTGGCCAAGCTGATACCCTCCACACCCTGTCTGATGACCCTTATCTCAGCTAAAGAAAAGTCAAAACAAAAAGCCCCAAAGGAGGAGAAGAGACATCCCTGGGCCCCTCCTACTCAGCACAACTTTTTGAAGAACTGGCAGCGTAACATAACCCTGCGGAAGAAGCAGCAGGAAGCCCTCAGTGGTGAGCGGAGTAGACAGGGCCCCTGCCTGGCCTCCATCTGGCATCCAGGCTCTGCTGTGTTTGTTCTCTCCCCAACCTGCCCAGAGCCTGAACTCGGACTGACTACACTTGTGCCCTTCATTCCTAAGAGTTTGTGGCTCTTAAGCCTTAGTGGGTCCTGAAGTCAGTCAGGTGAGGGGCTGCCCGGTGCACAGTGCCAGGGCCCCTGTTGGTTCTGATGTGGTGGTGGTGGGGGTGACTGCGTTCTTGCCTCTTTCTAGAACACCTGCAAAAGCCAGTGGGTGAGCTGCTCATGCACACTGGGGAGGCCTACAGGCGGATCCAAGAGGAGCGGGAGCTCATCGACCGTGCACTTCCAACACAGCATGATGGGAAAGTGAGGATCGCCTTCCCTAGGGCCCTTTGTGTGTGGGGGAAGGGGGGACGTGGGGGGTATTCAGACACAGGGATGACTGGTCTCTGGCTGCACAGTTGGGGAAAGAACATCTATCCATGGAAAAGCATTGTTAAGCCCTTGAGGCCTTTACTACATTGTATTATTGGTCCTACTATTGGGTGTTCAGGGACTGGCCAGTTAGTAATTCAGCCTGTGGTGGCCACTGGGAGTCAGTTTGAGGGAGACTGAGTTCTTAGACTCACCTGGGTGTTTGTCTACCAAAAAACTTAAGCTTTGTACAACCCAAGGCACCATGTTTTAGTCTGGTCTGCCAGTGTTGTGTCTCTATTTACCCACACCGTCTTTCTAGGGAGTGGGGGTGAAGGCTACAGCAGGGCACCCAGAACACAAGAAAGCGGGTGCTTGTCTTCTGCTATCCGGGCAGCAGCGAATTCCCCAGAGGGAGCATCTGGAGTGTGTGGTGCTCTCGTCTTCCAGCGGCACCACCAGCACCTGGCCGAGGTGTCAAGTGATGTGGCTCACTTGTCCTTCCTTGCCAGGGCTCAGAGACCACTGGGTTCTGGAGTCGGCTGGAGTACTTGGGAGATGAGATGACGGGTCTGGTCATGACCAAGACAAAAACACAGCGTGGCCTCGTGGAACCTGTCACTTACATCAGGAAGCCCTTCTCCACCCAGGTGGAGACAGGTGAGGCGCAGGGCTGAAGCCAGCTGGTATCTTGGGCCTGGCCCAAGAAATAGGGCAGTGGTTAGCATGGGTCTGCTGAGAGACAGACCTGGGGCCAAATCCTGGGTCAGGGTGGCCCTAGGCAAGTCCCAGAACCTTTCTAAGGTCCAGTTCAGTAAAACAGTGATAGAAGTGGTAAGAAAGTCAGAGCATGGCCTTAGCACCCAGCTGCCCCATCTGATGGTCCTAAAGCCATGTGCAGCATGTGACTGCATTGAGACGTGCTGTCAGTGTCAACTACAATTGGGTTTCGGAGATCAGAGTAAAAAATATATTTTATTAAGAAATTTGGGGCCAATGGTGGCTCACAACTATAATCTCAGCACTTTGGAAGGCCAAGGCAGGAGGATGGCTAGAGCCCAGGAGTTTAAGACTAGCCTGGGAAACATAGTGGTGAGACCTTGTCTCTATCCCCAAAAAAACAACAACATTAGCTGGACGTGGTGGTGTGTGCCCATAGCCCCAGCTACTTGGGAGGCTAAGGCAGAAGGATTGCCTGAATCCAAGAGGTTGAAGCTGTGATGAGCTGTGATCATGCCACTGAACTCCAACCTAGGGGACAAAGTGAGACCCTGACTTTTAAATATATATAAATTACATATTGAAACGATCATATTTTTGAGACACTGGGTTAAATAACCTAGTTTACTAAAATGAATATCATTTGTTTCTTTTTACCTTTTTCAACATGGCATCTAGAAAAGGTTAAATGATAGCGGCTTGTGTTTGTGGTTTGCGTTTGTTGGGCACCACTGCTAGAGAGCCTGCTTCACCTCCTGGTTCAAGTCCCAGCTGCGTTGCTTTGTGACCTCTAGCAAATTATTTGGCCCCCTGGCCCTCAGTTTCTCCATCTGCAAAATACAGTGTTGTGAGAAGGCTAAATGAGACATGAAATGTACTCAGGGGGCCTGGCCCATCGTTAGGTACACAATTGAAGGTAGCTGCTATTATTTTTGTTAAAATCCAAAGATTTGGCCATTTGGAAGCTAATGTTGCAGGAGTCCCGTGTGGGGCTGCTGAAGAGGTCTGGGTCAGAGGACTTGTGTCAGTGTTGTTGGGATGGGTGCTCCCAGAGCCCTGGAGAAGTGGGAGGGCCAGGGGGCATGGCACCAGCCTATGTTGAGGGTCCTTGGACCCCCTGAAGGATTGCCAGCCCAGAGGGATGCTTGGTACCGCTACACCTGGGACCGGAGTCTGTTTCTGATCTCCCGCCGCAAGGAGCTGCAGAGAGTCATGGCGGAGCTGGACTTCAGCCAGCAGGTTGGTGATGCCTCCTTGCCCAGCGGGAAGGCCCTTGGGAAGGTGCCTGTCTCTAGTCAGCTCATCTCTCCTTTCTTGGTCTCTCCAAGGACATTGACGGCCTGGAGGTTGTGGGCAGAGGGCGGCCCTTCTCGGCTGTCACGGTGGAGGACTACACAGTGTTTGAGAGGAGTCAGGAGAGCTCTTCTGAAGACACAGTGTCCTTGTGAGTGGAGCCTGCACCCTAGAGAGAGTCTGAAGTGTCCCCCAGCACCCATGAACACTGAAGGGCAGACTTTCTTCCCCAAAACCGGGGTACCTCCATCCCAGCTTCTCTGGAGTACCCACCGCTCCCTCCTCCAGCCCGTTCCAGCAGCTGTGCTGGCTTTTCTGTTGCCATCTGCTCCTTTGGACAACCAACGCCTCGTGGGGATTTCCCAGACTCTGCTTTGCTGGTTAAACGGGGCGTCCCCAGACCCTCCCCCTCCTGTGTACAGCGAACCCTCTGGCATGGAGAGTCGATGTGTTTCTGTGCATGGCAAACAGCTCTGACAGGAGTGCTTGCAGGGGCTGTTTCTAAGCCCCTCCTACCTGGAGGCATGGGTCAGAAGGAAGCCAAGTTGGAGTGGGGCTGGTCATGTTTCCAGACTTCCTGGCAACCATCGCCATGTGCTCCGTGTGGCATGACTGTGGCAGGCTCAGGGAAAATAAGACATTGGTTTTCCTTACAGAGACCCGTTATCCAGCTCCTCGGATGTGACCCCCATGCCTGTTCTTGGCCCTTCTCTACTGTTCTGTGGAAAGCCGGCTTGCTGGATCCGAGGCAGTAACCCAGAGGACAAGGTAAAACGGCCTCCACCCTTCCTCGCCTGCCAAGGGTCCCCATCGGTGCAGCCCCGAGGTGGCTTTGGCAATTGCCAGCAAGGAGCCCACACAGTCTCCTATTTGCGGTTTGACCTGGTCATGCATTCAGCACATCTGAAAATGGTAACAGCAGCACTAACATGAGCAAGAATAAAATCGCAAGACTGGAAAGGGAGTGTCACAAGCCACCCGGCTTGTATCTAGCCCCACAAGCATGTAAATACACACAGACGCTCTCAAACAGGTATGTCGCTAAGAAATACCCTTCAGATGCCAAGAAGCAGACACATTCATTGGGTGTAAATTCTGTTTTCTTCCTGTGAATGGGAACCTCAGAGACAGCCACTACCACTACTGGAGTATGAGACCACTCTGTTTGAGAGTGGCCAAGCGTGGGAGGCCTGGGACACGGGACTTTGAGTACTAAATCCAGAAATGTCCTGGGCAAACCAGAGTGAGTTGGTCACTCTAGACCAGGGTCTCCAGCAAACACATTTCTCCTGCCTCCTCCTTCTAGAAGCAAGTTGGAATTGCTGCTTGCTTGACCTTTGAAACTCTAGAACGAGAAATGACATCTTCAGAATTGACCGTGGTCAATAATGGCACAGTGGCCATTTGGTATGACTGGCGACGGCAGCACCAGCTGGACACGTTCCAAGACCTGAAGAGAAACAGGATGCAGCGGTTTTACTTCAACAACCGGGAAGGTATCAGGAGAATCTGCCCTCCCCGTTGGCTCCTGTCCAGGGATGGTCTTGACCTCAGTGTTTGTGAGATGCCCACACTGAGTTATGGCTCAGTTCCTGCAAGTTTGAGCCCCTCTTCCCACCTTGTCCCTCCCATTCCTTCTGTGAAGTGTATGATCTAACTCTTCATGTCTGTTGAGCCAGTGAGGGAACCTTTGGGGACCCAGAGAAATGGACGGCTAGGATGGCCGACTGTCCCTGTTTGCTTGGGACTTTCTCTGTTTTAGCACTCAGAAATCTCATGTTCCAGGAAACCTCTCAGCCCTGGGCAAACCCAGATGATTGGTCACCTGACCCGGGGCTCAGTCAGCATTATGCATGCAGACTTGGGGCTTAGCTAGCACCTCGTGTTGAAAAGTGCTGTTTCTGGCCCTCTTAGGTGTGATTCTGCCTGGAGAAACGAAAAACTTTTCCTTCTTCTTCAAGTCTTCAACTGCTGGGATCTTTAGGGAATCATGGGAATTTGGAACCCACCCTGCCCTCTTGGGTGGTGCCATCCTGCAGGTCAACCTCCACGCGGTCTCCCTGACCCAGGACCATTTTAGGGATGAGAGAAAGCTACTAGAGGTAAGGGACCCAGAACCTTGGCTCCTAAGAACACCAGATGGGTCATCCTGGTGATTTTGTTTCTCCCAGCCTAAGAAGTGAGCTGCATTTTTTGCAACAGGTGATCTGCGAACACTTCCCAGGGCTTTGTGATGTAAAAGATGGGTGGACAGCCTAAGGGAGGACAGCCTGCAGCCCAACCATGTGGGCACCACTGAGTTAGAAAGAAAGGAGATTGAACTTTAAGGTGCAGACTGCGTGGAGTGCACACAGAGCATGACTCCTTGCTCCTGTGCTGTGTTTTGTCCACTGCTCTCTGGTACTGTACAGTGGGGTTGGAGTTAACTGACGAGACTTCAAAACCAGAGAGAACAATTTAAATAGCAGAGTCGAGCTTGCCCATGTCCCACTCAATAAGCAGACACCCTGGCATGATACGAGGTGGGAACTGGAGCTCCATGACCCCCAGTCAGTTTCACGGTATAGCCATCTTGTGCCTGCTTCCTGGGATTCCTGGGAAAGCTGTGCTTTTTTATTCATTGTGGCCCCCAAAGCACAAGCTAGCTACTCTAGCCAGAGCTCAGCCAGTGGTGATCAAAAGTAATTTTGACAATGTCATGCTTGTTTTACTCAATGACTGTAAGACTGATGTCTCAGGTAAGGTGCCCCTCTGCCAGCTTTCTGTGGCACTGACTGCGTGCCAAGCCAGAAGAAAGTTCACCACCATTATCAGAAGCACCCACACCGTGCACCTCACCCCTTCTTCCTAATCTGGAGAACGTGCTGTGAGACTGCTCGGCCCCTTGCAGGAATAGCTCTTTCTGGGACTATCCCTCCTCTGAATTCTTTTCAGCCTCCTTTAGAAAACAAGGATGTCTGAACAGATCGAGAGGTTTTGGGGTCTTGGAATAGGCATGTGTGTGTGTGTGTGAGTGAGGGAGAGAGCTAAAGTAAGCCAGCAAGTAAGAGAGACAGACAGACAGATGCCCCCGAACTCAACCCCTATTCCTAAGGCTCCCCTGAGGATGCCGGGTTTGAGAGACTGGGCTGCTGTCCTGTGCCACCTTCCCTTCTCCAGAGCAAACTGGTGGCTGGCGAGGCAGTCACCATCGCAGAGCACATGCTGCAGGAGCTGCTGATGGGGGTCTTCACTCCAGAGCGTGTGCCGTCCCCTGTGGACACCTACCTCACCGAGGAGGACTTGTTCCAGCATAGGAATCCTCAGGTAAGGCCCAGCGCAGCCCCTACCCCTCGTGCATGCCTGGGTGACAGCAATCGCAAGCCCTTCTGTGTGCCAAGACCTGTTCTGAGCATCATCCATGAGTAACTCACTTTGTCCTCACAGCAGTCCTATGGGATGGGTACCATTTGTGTCCTCATTATACCCTGAGGATACCAAGGCCCGGGGAGGTTCAGTCATTTCCCCAAGATAACCTAGCTAACGAGTGCACGCCTGGTGAGAGAGAGCATCACACCTCCTTCATCCAAACCCAGTCTTACTTGGAAGCCCAAATGCAAAAAAGCTTCAGCGTGGACATGCTCATGTTGAAGGGGAAGCGGGGGCCCCTCTGGTCACAGCTGCTCCTGTTGTCTTCCTCCCTGCCTTCTCCATCAGTGCTCTCAAGGGAACAAGGGAAGCCCAGGCCAGCAGGGTGGGCTCTGGGTGCCCGAGTTCCAGCCGCCCCCTCATACATCTTCCCCTGCTTCTGCTGCAGCTGTGTTACCAGCACCAAGTGGTGCAACACCTGCACAGACTGTGGCACCAGTACATGGCTCCACCCTCCAGGGCCAAGGAGGCCAGGCTAGGCGAGGAGGAGCGCCTCAGCCCCAGGGCCCAGGTGTCAAAGGCCTCCACGAGCACCGAGCTCTCCCCACGCTTCAGGAGCCCGGTTTCAGAAACTCATCTGCACCGGCAGGAGAGTGAGGCCCCCAGGGACTCCCGAGATTCCACTGGGCTCCACAAGATGGGAGCAGGGACCAAGAGCTCTCATTGGAAGAGCATCATGGAGGAGATCTTGGTGGAGGAGAGCCCAGACATGGAGAGCGCCAAGAGCCCCGGAGAGTTGGGTGGCCTTCCCCCGCCCGAGTGGAACCTCTGCTTGGAGGACTTCAGAAAGGTGTCTGAGACCTGGGAGGTTGGGAGGGGAATGGCCCTGGCATAGCCATGAGCTAGTACTCCTGTCCCAGACCAACAAGTGAGGCTCCAGCCGCCTCTCTTGTCCCACGGGCAGAGAAACAAACTCTTCTGAGGGCCAAGATAAACCAGTTTTGGTTCATCTCTCTTTGTCTGGGGGTCCCAGGCCACTAGAGCAGGAGGGCCTCCCTGTTGACCTTGATCAACCTTGGAGAAGCTCCCACAGAAGGCACCCCAGACAGCTCTCTATGGCTGCAGCCCCTCCTGGCTCCTGGTCCTTGGCTCCCTATCCCCTGTCACCATGCCCATCACTAGAGGACACAGCGGCCCTTGTCCTGGGCAGCACAGTTGCCCATGGTGCCTGTGCCCCTGCCAGGCAGTGAAGGTGCTCCCTGATGAGGCCCAGAGAGAGGACGCGCTGGTCAGGCTCAACAGGGCAGCCTTGGAGCTGTGCCAGGAGCAGAGGCCGCTGCAGTCTGACCTCCTGCACCAGATGTGGTAGGTATCCCGCTGGGAGATTCAGCCCATCGGCCCCCCCCGTGGCATCTGGCCAGGGATCCTGGGAGGCAGTCCCCTTGAGCTCAGGCTGCTGAAATATGCTTTCGGGAGCCCTGCAGTGCTGCCACTCCCTAGGCAGTGGTCACAACAGAGCAAACATGGTGTGTGTTTTTTCCTTCCTCTTCTTTCCTTGTTCCTTACAGTGAACAGGGGAATGAAACAAAGGAGAAGTCAGAGGGCAGTGAGAAGAGGGGCAGATTCCTTTATTTATTTTATTTTATTTTATTTTTTTGAGTTGGAGTCTCACTCTATCGCCCAGACTGGAGTGCAGTGGCCGCTCCCGGCCACAGCAGCCTCGACCTGCTGGGCTCCGGCGATCCTTCCGCCTCAGCCTTCCGAGTAGCCGGAATTACAGGCGCGCGCTATCACGCCTGGCTGATTTTTTGATTTGTTGTAGAGATGAGGTCTCATCAAGTTGCCCAGGCGGGTCTCGAACCCGCGGGCTCAGGCAATCCACTCACCTCAGCCTCCCAAAGGCACGGGATTACAGGCTGAGCCACCGAGCCCAGCTGGGCAGATTCCTTTAAAAGCTTCCCTTCGCTGTCTGCCTCTCTGGTCTCTGTTTGGAACTTGCCCAGATGAGCCTCAGGGGCCTTTTAATTTTTTTTTTTTTTTTGAGTTGGGGTCTCACTCTGTCACCCGGCCTGGAGTGCATAGTCATGTTCATGGCTCACTACAGCCTCGACCTCCTGGACTCCGACAATCCTTCCACCTTAGCCTCCCAAGCAGCTGGGACTGCTGGTGCATGCCACTACGCCCAGCTAATCTTTAAATTTTTTGTAGAGATGAGATCTCACTATGTTGCCTAGGCTAGTCTCCAACTCCTGGCTCAAGCAATCCTCCCACTTTGACCTCCCAGAGTGTTGGGATTATAGGCATGAGCCCCGTGCCCTGCCCTGGGGGGCTTTTTGTAAGACTCTTGGAACACAGCTGGATCCAAGTCTAGTCATGGCTTCAAGCCAGAGCTTCCACTTGGAAGTAGGACTGAATCCATGCAGGCCTCCTAACCCTAGTCCTGGGCCTTTTCTTTTCTTTTTGGCTGCCACCCAAGGCAAGTCAGAACCCCATCTGAGAGCTTGCATGAGGTCTGGGCAGCACCGATGCTGACTGCTCGGGATGTGGCATTTCCATCACAATTCCTGCCACCAGGGTCTTTGAAGGGAGCCACTGAGCCTCTGCGGGCTCAAGACAAATGGGGCCTTGAGAAGGCTTTTCTCCAATCTATCTTGCCCCCTCTAGTTTGCACCTGTGGAGAGATGTCATTGACAGCCTCGTGAGCCACTCCCTGTGGCTGAGGGCTCTGCTGGGCCTGCCTGAGAAGGAGACCATCTATTTGGAGGTGCCAGAGGAGCAAGGTCGGATGCTGTGCAGCCACACTCTGTGTAGCCTTTGCAGCCCTCTGCCCGTACGGCAGGGGTGCCTCGGCCAGTCCCTGTGGTCAGAGCTCTGCTAGGTTGCGCCCATGGAGTAGGCCCTTGCCGCCTTTCTATCAGCTGCCAGGATTGGGACCCAGCAGTGACCACCTTACTTCCGTATTCCCACAGAAGCACAATGACTTGTCCGTGACCATACCTGGGGGTGTGTCAGGGCTGAGACAAGAAGCTGGGCTCTTCCCCTGCCCCACAGTCCTGCTCTACATGGGAACACACCCGAATGAGGGGCCCAAGGAAGAGAGCGTCCTCCTCAGGGCCCTCCGTTGCCCTCAGTCTGAAGGAATTCTCTCGAAGCGAGGGCGCAGCAGCGCTCAAGACCATTTCCCTTTGCTTTCCCATCTCGCGTCAAGCCTCCTCACTTGCCTGTGGCATCCACTAGGCCGCAGGGTGCCTGCCACAGCTGTTTTCACTCGCCTCCCTTACATCAAAAATCCCTTCCTGTCACAGAGGTGAAGGTGCCTGCCGGGAAAGTTGGGAAGGAGGAGAGGAGAGGGGCGGCCCAGGAGAAGAAGCAGCTGGGAATCAGAGACAAAGAGGACAAAAAAGGAGCCAAGTTGTCCGTGAAAGAGGCATGCTGGGATATGCTCCAGGCCCTGGGGGCAGGGAGGGCAGCCAAGGCGCTGCAGGGGTGGGTCTCTTCCTTGGGCCCCTTCCTTGGGTCGTGCCTGGCTCTCCTGGTGAGCTGCTGTTGAGAGTGTCCTGGGTCGACCTGGGGGCTACTCAAGGCTGCACATGTCCCCCCCTCACCCCCCCTCGCCCCCGCAGGACCGGTCCAACAGCAGGAAGCACAAGGCAAAGGATGACAAGAAAGCCACGAAATCTATAAGCCGGGACAGGCTTTCCTTGGAAGACTCTGCCCCCGACAGCACCCTCCCTTCTCAGGAGCCCATAGACCCCCTGGTCATGGAGAAATATACCCAGAGGCTGCACACTGAGGTGAAGGAAGCACCTAGCAGCCATGCCCCTCACCCCACCTGCGTGTGTGACAAATGATAAATGGCCACTCTATCCATGGTGGAGCAGAGCCACCCCAGGGAGGCCGTCCTAGCATGCGAGACAGGCCTTGTGAATAGGCAACGTGCATAGCAAGTCAGGTGGCGAGCACTGTGGAAAGAACAGATAAATGGGATGAGGAGTGGAGGCCGGTGGGCCTCAGTGAGAAAGTGGCATCCAGCAAAGGCTTGAAGGGAGGTGAAGCTTGTCCTAGGCAGGAGAGCAGTTGAGGCAGGGAAGGAGGGAGAGGGTGGTGGGGAGGAGGCTGCGGGAGGGGGAGGTGCTTGCTTGACCTGGGATTTCTCTGAGTGAAGAGTTTTACATAGAAGAGTGATGCGGTCTGACTTGGCCTTTAGAAGATGGCCCTGGCTGCTCTTTGGAGAACAGACTCTGGAGGAGCCAAGAGGAAGGAAGCCCTCCTCTTCTGCCACTCCCATTTCTTCCGTGTGGGTGCACACTGGCAGAGGCGTCCCTTGGGAAAACACCAAGTGGGGTGCATTTCCATCCATTGTAAGGGTTTTGAAATGGGTGTGTCTTCATCCTGATCTGTCCTTAAGCAGCAGGTTCTGAGAGATCCACCCAGGTGTTTTGATTTTTGTTGTTGCCTATTTGAGAGAGGAGGCCCACAGAGCCGTATTCCATATGGCAGTGTGTCTGATGGCAATGCTTTGTCTTCCTCTGATGTGGGCAGCCGGGGAGCTGGGATCACATTGACCAGAAGTTCCATTTGTTACTGGTGACATCCCTGAGTTTCTTTTATTCTCTTTTTTCTTTTTTTTGAGTTGGAGTCTCACTCTGTCACTCAGGTTGGAATGCAGTGGCGTGATCAAAACAATAACAGCTCACAGCAGCCTCCATCTCCTAGGCTCAGGCAATCCTTCCACCTGAACACCCTGAGTAGTTGGGACTACAGGCACACACCACCACACTCAGCTAATATTTTGGTCTTTTTGTAGAGGTGAGGTTTCACTATGCTACCCAGGCTGGTCTTGAACTTCTGGGCTCAAGCAATCCTTCCACCACAGCCTCCCAAAGTGCTGGGATTACAGATGTGAGCCACCACACCCCCAGCCATTACTGAGATTTCTGATGGTTGATGGGTTCCAGAAAGTAATTAAAGGGCTCTGAAGACCCCTGAAGTAGACTCTTTTGTGGCTCTTTGATATTCAGAATCAACTTGCCTGGGCTAGTGTGTTGGAGACCTTTCAGTATGTGGATCTGTGATCTTATAGGATAAAAAGTTGGCCTGGGAGGCCACAGTAGAAAAGGGGACTAAGTCCAGGCCCACCTGGAAGGGCTGAGTGGGCGCTGCTCTCCAGGCTCCTGGAGTTGCGCCTTGAACACTTCTAGGCTCTAGGGCTTCTACCGGTCAAAGGCACAGTGTGGGATTATCTCCCAGACTGATGGGAAAATAAAACTGTATGCAAAGACAAAACTTCTAAAAAACTCACAACTTTGGCTTCTGCCCTCTCTAGTTGTTCCTAGTGGCACAGATGATGCAGAGGTGCTCCTGCAGAGCAGACCTTTGCCTGTGATGTTCGTGCCATTCTTCCAGGTCTATGGGTTGCTGGACACTCTGGTGACCGACCTGATGGTCCTGGCCGATGAGTTCAGCCCCACACAGAATGTCGAGGAGCCCCTGCGTCTTTGCAGCTGACTCTTGGCCCGAGCAGCCTTCTGGGAAACCTGTTAACCAACAAGTCAATAAAGAAGCTTTAGGTTTCTACCACTTCTGTGGTGCCTCTGTTTTGGATGCTGGATCTTGGTGAGGTCAGTTCCTAGTCCAGGTCCCCCCATGTCCCCCCTGCCCTCAGATCCCTCTCCCAGCTCCTCTGGGAAAGATAGACACAGCTGGGGAGGTGATGTGAGGGAGGAAGGGCAGAAGAGCAAGTTGGTGGCAGGACAAGGAATGAGTCGGGTGACAGGACAGAGTGTGCCACTCCCCGTAGTCCCTGCCTCTGGCTGCCTTGGCCCGCACTTTTAGGGTCATGCTTCCTGGAGCCCTGTCTTCCTGAAGTGTCGTCACCAAGTTGGCAGAATGGGAGCTGGAGGAGAATGAGACCCATGGGACCTGATGCCCTGACATCCTCTGGCTTCAGCTGGGTCCCACCGCCCCATCCCAGCCCCTAAATATCACACCACACCTCTTAAACTCGAAACTTGAGTGTTATCTCACCCCCTTATTGTTTCGGGGTCTAGTCTGTCTCATCCCCTTCCTCATCTCAAACCATCTGGCCTTGAGCCATCTTGCTGCCTTAAAAGCAGCCACTAGACTTCACTCTACCTCTCTGGCTCAAGGGACGTGAAGCGGGCAAGAGATGGCTCTTGGGAAGAAAGGTGTTATTAGCTCAGACTCAGTACCAGAATTGTCTTCTGTCAGTCACAACCATTTGGGACTGTGTTTCAATGGTGGGTGGGTGGGCTTATCTCTTTTTTAAGCATTTGCTGATGGCTCAGAAAAGGTGTGGGTGGGAGGCTGGGGAGGGGCTGCAGGTTCTATCCCCCCTCCTCCAGGCTGCCTTTGGTGTTCCCCATTAGGACCTCATGGGCCTCCTCACTTGAAGGAGGCGGAGGTTGGGGGGAGTGGGACACTCATCTCTGTGTGGGAGAGGCAGAGGGGGGCTGAGGAAGCCAGCGGGGACCCCAGAGAAGGCAAAAGCCCAGCCCCAGGAAAGGGTCCCACCCTCTCCTTTAATGGCCTCCTGGCCCAGAGGAGGAAGGGGAGGGGTAAGGGGAGTTTGGAGCTCCTGCAACCCACCCCCCATTTGCCGTTAAAGAGGTAGCAGAAGAGTTAACTCACTGCAGAGGGGAGCGAGTTGCAAGCACTGGGTCCGGTTTGCACCTCCTGGGTGCCGGCAGGCAGGCCTCCCAGCTCTGAAAGTCTGAAGGCACGCCTGCCAGGCCAGCAGGAAGGGGTTAACCATGCCTGCTTCCTCCTGTGTCCTGTTACAGCTGAGGCAGACCTGCCCAGCCAGCTGAGCAACTTTCCTCTGAGTGCTGCCTGGCGCTGGCTGGCCAGGGGTCCTGGAAGCCAACGGGCGGAGCTGCCCCCCACTCTGGGACCCTACCGCTGCCCTTCCGAGGGGGCTGCGCCTCCTGGAAGCGGGTGGGTCTCTGGGACGAGAGTTCATGGTGGATGGCTCTGGAGACGTTCCCGGGGTTGTGCCGTCCCCCCTCCGTGCAGGTCGGAGGGTCACCGCAGAAGCCACTCGGGCTGGGGCCAAGGGAGCCCACACCCGAGGTAAGCTCCCTCCCTGACCCCCCTCCCCAGCAGTGATGGAGCCCCGCCTGGAGGTGGGGCACAGAGTGGGCTTGGGCTTCACCAGGTTCAAGGGAGGGGGCACCGAAGGCAGAGGATCTGGGGGAGGCTACGGCCCTGGAGGCTTCTTTCCTGCCGTCCCTCCCACCCGGCAGCCCCCAGGAAGGGACCCAGGGCCTGCTCCCCACCCCTTCCCAGGACTTCGCATCTGCAGTGGCATTCCCCACACACTCCAGCATCTCCGCTGTTCCCTCTTCCCTGTCCAGATGCACACCTCTAGCCTCAGGGCAGCCCCCACCCTGTTCCCGAGTCCCCTGGACTCAGCTGCTCCAGTGCTGATGAGGTCGTCGACCGAAGCTTAGTGCTAGAGTTCACCTCCGTCCCTCCAGCATCAAGGACACTGCCATTCCCCACTACTCACGCCGGACCTGGACCTGGTGGGATGCGGAGGGGGTGTGGGCTGCTGGGGACACACACAGGCATTGGACAGACTCATGCACGTGAGACTGGACAGATCTGGGTCCTTTCAGCCTCTCTGAGTCCCACTCTGGGATCAGCTTTTTTCTGCCCTGACTTTTGGGGATCGCTCCAGGTACCCCAGTCCAGCGGTCCCCGAGATAAGCAGTCCCAACCCCTGCCCAGCTCTCCCTCAGACTTCGTGTGCAGGAGGGAGTTAATCCTCTGTGTCCCCAGAGCTGGTCCCGCTGCTGCCGGCCCTTCTCCCATCCCCCCAGACTGCTCCCGCCTCTGCCCTCTCCCCACCTCTGAATCAGCCTCCCAGGCCCTGCCTTCTCAGTGCCCTTCCCTCCACCTGACAGGGTCTGGCTCAAGGTCACTGCAGTAATTCCATACCCGGCCGCCCGGGGCTGCCGCTGCCACTGCCGCCGCCGCTGCCTTATCGGCTGCTGGGGTTCTGTTTCACTCGCTTTTATTTCTGGGCATATTGTGTTCGATAAAACCCTCTGCTTGTAACACCGTTGGCCGCACTCCCGACTGCTCCCTCCCGCGTTCCTTCCTCTCCTCCTCCCCCTCCAAGCTCCCTCATTCTCGCCCTGCCCCCTCTTCCTCCCTGCCTTGTCCCCTCAAACGCCAGGGGAGGGAGGTCAAGGCATCGCCCACGTCTGTGACCTTTCTCTTCCCCCAGCTCTAGCAAAGGTGGGCAGAAAATGCCCAGCTTCTAGAACAAACATCTAGACTGGGCCACTGGGTCCACCCCGAGGGCCCCCTCCTAGGAAGGCCAGCGGCCCCACCCAGGCCCAGCAGGAGGACTGGGGCAGCCTGGCCCAGGTAGGGCTCTGGTGGAGTCAGGATGCCTGACTGGTTCTTCGAGTTCCAGCGGCCAGCAGGGAGGGGCGTGCACTGGGCGGGCTCTGGTGCACATTATTTCCCATCTTGACGCCCGCCGCCCGCCACCCGCCAGCTGGGGAGGTGAAGGCTGGTCTGAGTCACTAGCGAGGGGGAGGGCAGGAGTTAAACAAGTTGTGGCTGTGGCATCCCCACAGAAGGCCCGCCACCGCTGGACGGAGAGACAGAAGGTAGGCAGTGCTTGGGCCCCGCACTCCCTCTCCCCGGCCTGCTCCCACAGGAGCCCACCCTCTGGGCTCAAGCTTTCTCAGGCACCTGGGCTCCCGCCAAACCTGCCAAGGCCTGTGGGGCCGCTTTGAACTCAGCCCGGCATCGGCATCGTGGTGGAGCTGGACGGCCTTCTGATCCCTGCCTGCTGGAGCCTGGGGACCAGCTGGGGCACAGCTGGGGAGGGGGTGAGGGTGCAGTGAGAGGCACAGCCACCATGGGTGTTTGTGGGGGGGATGAAGTGGGAGTTCTGCAGCGTGTGTGTGTGTGTGTGTGTGTGTGTGTGTGCGTGCGCGCGTGCGCGGGCCTTCATGTATGCACACACTGTGCTAGTGCTGGAGGAACCGTGGTGGCAGAGGGTCCCGTTTCTTAAAAGGCCTTGGGCAGACCTTCCTCTGTTCTGGCCTAGATTTACTTTCTGCAGGCAGCCTGGACCTGCAGCTGTGGGGAGGGAAGTGGCTTGCCCTGATCCTCCCCTCTGCTGGGGTGTGGGAGATCCCCCGTGTGTCCAGGGCCTTGAGGATTTGGAGAGCCCAGACAGTCCCTGCCCACAGGGAGCTTCCATTCTGGCTGAGCAGGTGGGACTGAGACGTAAGACAATCAGATGGATTCATTACCAACTCAGTGACACTGACCATAAGTATTGGATTAGCCTTTCGGAGACTTAGGTGTTAGTCCCAGCTCTGCCACCTACCAGCTGGGCAGGTCCCATGGCTCTCTGGCCTGGCCTCTGCACTCTTGTGTGTCCATGCAGGGGAGGGTAGGGGAGGTGGCCTCCCAGAGGCTGCCTTCCCAAACGCCCTTCCCTCTCTTGCCTTCCGAGCTCAGCATCCCCTCCCAGCTGTCAGCTGCTGTTCCTCTCCTTGCTGGTTCACTCCTCCTCACCCTTCCCTTTGGATCTTGGATCTCAGCTCAGCCGCCACCTCCTCTAGGAAGTCTCCTCTGATTCTCCTGGCTTGGGTCTTCCTGTGCTGGTCTGCACTCCCACACTAGACTGTGATTTTCTGTACCCTCTCAACTGAACGTGGGTGGACCAAGACGCGTGTTCTGTGCCTGGCATAGTGCCTGGCTCAGAAAAGGCCTCCAGGAAATAGGTGTTGAAGGCATCAAACTACAAAAAGTAACAGTATGAGAGAAGTGGAGAGAGCACAGAAGAGCTGGAAGGGACGGGGCTTAAGCTGGATCCTGGCAGAAGCGAGGAGGGAACCAGCAAAGCAAGGGTGTTCCTGGCGTCCCTGGGAGAGCCCTCCCTGAGGCCGTGCGTGCTGGGGCTGGGCTGCCTGGGGGCACCCTGGCCCCCCACCTACCAGCACTGATCTTGGAGTAGCCACCCAGTACCCCTCTGAGCCTCACTCTCCCCATCTGTCAATGGTATGATTGTGAAGACATGTGAAGCACTTTTAAGTGCCTGCTGAATAAGGAAAACAAGAAAAATAAGTGCCCGCGGCAGGCTGTTCCCGGCAGCAGGGACACTCTGGCCGGACAGGGTTTCATCGGTCAGCAGATGAGTGCCCGGGGAGGTGGGTGACTGTCTCTGAGCTCAACCCTCTCTTCTCCAGCTCCATGCGGAACCCCAGGACACAGCCGCCCTGCTGAGAGCGCGGCAGCCCATCCTCCGAGACCGTGACCTCGCGACTCTCGCGACGGTGGCCCTTGGCCCTCCACCTCCAGCGGGGGCGGGGGCCACCCACCTCCAGGTCCCCGGCCATGACGACGTCCGCACTCCGGCGCCAGGTGAAGAACATCGTGCACAACTACTCCGAAGCAGAGATCAAGGTGCGCGAGGCGACCAGCAATGACCCCTGGGGCCCGCCCAGCTCACTCATGTCGGAGATCGCCGACCTGACTTTCAACACGGTGGCCTTTGCCGAGGTCATGGGCATGCTGTGGCGGCGGCTGAACGACAGCGGCAAGAACTGGCGGCACGTGTACAAGGCGCTGACGCTCTTGGACTACCTGCTCAAGACAGGCTCCGAGAGGGTGGCCCACCAGTGCCGTGAGAACCTCTACACCATCCAGACGCTCAAGGACTTCCAGTACATCGACCGTGACGGCAAGGACCAGGGCGTCAACGTGCGTGAGAAGGTCAAGCAGGTGATGGCCCTGCTCAAGGACGAGGAGCGGCTGCGGCAGGAGCGAGCCCACGCCCTCAAGACCAAGGAGCGCATGGCGCTGGAGGGCGCGGGCATCGGCAGCGGGCAGCTGGGCTTCAGCCGCCGCCACGGCGAGGACTACGGCCGCTCGCGGGGCTCCCCCTCCTCCTACAACTGTGAGTGAGCCCAGCGTGGGGCTGGGACAGGGAGGTGGCCTGAGTTCTGGGGGCCTGGCTGTGCAACCCTCAGCGGTGGCTCCTGACACCCCCCCTCAGAGGGATGTTACGGGGATTCTGAGATCAAGAATGTGCCGTGCAAGACACACACACCCGGCACGTGGTAGGGGCGTTTCAGGGATTCCGAGATCAGGAATGTACCATGCAAGGCACACATCCGGCACATAGTAGGGATGTTACGGGGATTCCGAGATCAGGAATGTGCCATGCAAGGCGTACACCAGGCACATAGTAGGCGCACCACAAGTTAGCTCAAAGAATCATGTTATTAGATATTTGTTGTTACCATTAGTTCGCTGTCTGATAGTATGGCATGGTGGTGGAACCCTGGCTCTGGAGTCAGATCGCCGTCTTTATTCTGCCCCATTCCAAGCTGTGTGACCTGGGTACCCAGCTTTCTGGACCTGTTTCCTCGCCCACGAAATGGAGATAAGCTTACCTACCTCTGTTGTTTGATCTGAGAATTAATTGAGACCAGGCCCAGGAATGTCCTTGATACTGCCCAAACAGGTGGCATTCTCCTTCATCCCCCTGCTTGAGGGCACTGCCCTTGAAAACAGGGGTGGCTGCTAGGCATCTCTGGTGCTCCTTCCCCCTCACCCCCTGCAGTGAGGGCTTCCCTGATCTGAGGAATGCTCACGCTGCTTTCAGAGGCCCTTGACAGCTGGCTGAGCACTTTGAGGCTGTGACCTTATTTGACCAAAACCTCCCACCCTCCCACTCCCCTTGGCCCCCAGCAGGATGGGGTCATTCTGGAAGAGTTCAAGAGCTGGATTCAGGGGACCTGGGTTCAAGTCCTTCAGGACCCTGGCCAGGCATCCCTCTGGGCTGTCTTTGCAAGTCAGGAAGAGAGTGCAGTCTGCACCGCCGGGATGGAATGGGGACCACATACTGCCCGGCCTACAAGGGCCTTGGATGGCCTCTTTGAGCCTCAGCTGCTCAGCAGGTGGAGGGCTGTGGGAGCCAGTGGGTCCTGACGTGATCACAGGCCGCTATGGTCTTTGCAGCCTCCTCTTCATCCCCCCGCTACACCTCCGACCTGGAGCAGGCCCGGCCTCAGACATCAGGGGAGGAGGAGCTGCAACTGCAGCTGGCCCTGGCCATGAGCCGCGAGGAGGCC